GATAATATCCCCAAAAATAAAATAAATACTCCAAACAAGAAATTATCCTGGCACATTGTCAAATAATTCCCCAAAACATTATATAAATCTCTAAATAATTATTGATTTTCCCCTAATAATTACTATTTCCCCGAATAGCTAAATGTTGTCCAAAATAACTAATAATTTACACAAATAATTAATATTCCCCTGAAATTATCAACATTTCCTCAAAATCATCAAAGTTTCCCCACATGAATTAATACTTTTTGCAAAATAATCATTAATTTCTCCAATTTATTCCTAATTTCACCATTATATATATATATATATATATATATATATATATATATATATATATATATATATATATATATATATATATATATATATATATATATATCCCCTAATTAATCAATGGGATGGGACCTAGTGCAAGGTGTTTGCATGCCAGACTGGCTGAGGTGTTTTCAAATCAGAAGCAGCAACCTACAAATCGAACTCTACTCCACCCTCTAGATTCTAGAAGAAGACGTTAGGATCACTTTTATTCCAACAGTATTGAAAAGCCTTCACTTTGCCCCAGCAGAAAGGTCACTCCTTGCACAACCACCGAGACTGGGAGGAATAGGAATTACTAATCCAGAGCAGCTTACTGCCACTGAACATTAGAGCTTTTGTCAAGCCCACGACAGCCCTCACTGAGCACATAATAGCTCAAAATGTATGAGGAGGAGACTAATGAACTACGAAAAATTCGACGTTCCATTATGACAGAACAGCAGCACACCCTAAACGAAAAACTTCAAGAACTGATGAAGCAGTTGTCAGCGAACTTGAGAGAAAATAAAAGTAGCTGTAGTGCAGGAGGTGGGCGCCTCAAACTGGCTAACAACGTTACCAATAAAGGCTTCAGCCTTAACAAACAAGAATTTACAGATGCCATTGCTCTAAGATACGGTTGGCCAGTAGAGGGTATGCCCACCCAATGAGTGTGGCTCGTCCTACAACATCGACCACGCCATGGTGTGCACGAAGGGGGGCTTCGTATGCATGAGGCAGAAGAATTTGTCTGAAAAATGGCAGATGAAATTCAATGTGGAAATTGTAAAGTAATTAGTCTAGGAGATGTAAACAGAGAAACCAGATATCAGATGAACAACGATGTTATAGAGAAGTCTGAATGTGAGAAAGATTAAGGAGTAATGATAAGTAGGAATCTTAAGCCAGGTAAAGAATGTGTATTTGCTCGAAACAAGGCTAATAAAGTACTTGGGTTCATACAAAGGAGAGCTAGTTACAAAACTGGAGAGGTCATCCTGAAACTATATCTTGCGCTTGTGAGACCTCACTTGGATTATGCAGTTCAATTCTGGTCACCGTACTACAGAATGGATATAGAATCCCTAGACAGAATTCAGAGGAGAATGACAAGACTAATTCCGGGCATTTGGAACCTTGATTACATAGACAGGTTAAATCATCTTAATTTGCACTCCCTCGAGAGACGTAGGGTGAGGGGCGATATGATAGAGGTGTATAAATGGAAGTCAGGACTGAACAAAGGGGACATAACAAAGGTACTCAAACTATCCAACCAGGAGCGAACTCGTAACAATGGTTTTAAATTAGACAAATTTAGATTTCGGCGTGAAATAGGTAAACATTGGTTTGGAAATATTGTGGATGAATGGAACAAGTTACCAAATATCATTATTGACTCGAATACGAGGGAAAGCTTCAAACATAGGTTGGATGGATATATGAGTAACAGGGGTTGGGTGTAAATGGAACTGCCCAGTATGGGCCAATAGGCCTGCTGCAATTTCCTCCATTCTTATGTTCTAATATGCTGAAGGAAATCTTCCTTTGGACGGTGAGAATCTCCTTCACAGAGCCTCCAACGCATCCAATGAAGCTCATGTGTATGTCAGTGGTCGAGGGCTCTGGACGTGGGGACAGCGAGCCTTCTTTGACATCACGATATTTTACACCATGACTGCGTGTCACCGTGAACTATCTCTCGAGGCTGCACACAAGAGGAGCGAGAACTACAAGAGAGAATTCAGAATGTGGATCAAAGCAGCTTCACTCCTCCGGTGTTCTCAACAACTTGCAGGATGTGACCAAGTGCAAGATGCTTCCACACAAGACTGGCCGAGGTGCTATCTGAGCAGAAGCAGCAGCCCACAAGCTACGTTGCAGCATGGTTGAGATGTCGACTGTCCTTCCCTCTTTTCAGGTCTGCATTACTTTGCTTCAGGAGAACGAGATTATCGACCCAAAGCCCCAACAGTCGCAGATATTGACGATGAGGCAACAGTCACTGAATGCAGCATAGATCTGCGGCTCAACTAACTCAACACAGCTAGGATAGCTACTTATGTATTAGGATATTTAATATTAAGGTAATAAAATGGTGGCGAAGGTATGGCTATTGGGGGAGGCTGGAGGCCATTTTTTTGTAAATTAAAAAAAAGTAGTACCAGTAGTAGTGGTAGCAGTAGTACCAGTAGTACTGTGGTGACCAGTGTCTCCAAACGGCAACGTCATAGTGGCATTACCGGTATCACTATTTATGAATAATTGAGTATTGGTAATGTAACAACGGACGTGATTGGTGGATAGGATTGTTATAGGTCATACAGGTTGGCCGTTTGGAGACACGAGTGACCACAGCAGCAGCAGCAGCAGTACCGGTAGTAGTAGTACCGATAGTAGTACCAGGAGTAGTAGTAGTAGTAGTAGTAAAACAATAATGACTATAATAACGTATAACACCACCCCAATATTACAGTCCAGAGTTAAAACATCTTCCTGCAGTGAGGGTTATTACCTAACTGGTTTTTATAGGTACAGGAAGGTGCTCCATGACCTAAGAGGAGCCTCGCCGCCATCACCACCCTGATGGTGCTCCATAACCTAAAAGGAGCCTCGCTACCACCACCACCCTGATGTTGCTCCATGCCCTAAGAAGAGCCTCGCCAGAGTCGCCACCACCACCACCCTGCAGGTGCTCCATGACCTTAGAGAGAGAGACCCTCCCACGCGGCCGGTCAGCCCAGCACAACCTCACCAATACCATCACCCCAGACCTGTTCTGTGATGATCCCCACCACCACCCCTCCTCCTGCTCCACGCCTCCTACCCCTACCCTTCCCTCTACTCCCACCCCTCCTCCTACTCCACGCCTCCTACCCCTACCCCTCCCTCTACTCCTACCCCTCCTCATACTCCTCCCCTCCTATTCCTACCCTTCCCCTGCTCCTGCCCCCTTTTCTCATATGTGCTGTTCCTTCCTCCTTGCAGACCCTTCTCTTTCCTTCGCTGTGTTCCTCTTTTATCTCTTCCATCGTCTCTTCCGCAATTCTTATTATCATCCTTCTTCCTTCCCACAGTTCATCTTCATGCCGAAGGTATAAATTCCCTCTGGTAATTAACCTGCATACTCTACCTATAGTGTCTGTACCTGCACTGACTATGTACATTGTATATTGTACCTGCATTGTCTCTATAAATTTTCAAACAATGTAAAATAATAAAAAAATTTACTCATTATCTATCTGCATAACTACCTGCTCGTATTAATCTATCAATCAATTTAACTAGTCATTTACTGGTAGTTGTCGATCAGCTTGGCATGAATAAAAAACTATGATCGCAAATGTACGGTATAACGAGTATTTATTTACAACAATGCTTAAATGTTTATTATCGTTGTATACCATCATGAGTTCCAACTCCCACTTTTGTGTCATATGAGCTTGGATCGTGGCATATGAATTACAACTACCTGGCTTGTGTGCGACCCACCTGTAAATGGTTAGATTAGTCAGAGAAAGTCCAGATTCTTGCCCTCGTGACCTCCTGTGTCCTGCGTCGGGCTGCTGTGTGTGTGGGTCAACCCCTTTGTTGATGCTCTGTGTGCGCGTGTGTGTGTGTGTGTGTGTGTCAAAATGTTTCATTAACACATAAAACAGTCCTCGTGATACATAATTTACAATCATATAACAAATATTTTAACATAAAAAGTGCAGGAAGTCTAGATTAGACAAGTACTGTTGTCAGATCTTTTCAACACGGCGCCTCCCTTACAAAGACTGAAGGTATGAGGTAGGATGATTTGAAATGATGGGGTTAAATGACACAAGAAAACAGTGCGTGACAGGGAGTTCCTCACAACGTTACAATCATAATCGTTGTGTTGTATTATATTATTTCATACTCGATACAACTAGTCTGTGGATCAGTCTCGACTTGTTTACCTTAACATAAATGCATAAATATGCATTTCCAAAGGTGTTTCGTGCACAAACTAGACACACCTAGTGAACAGCGCTTTATATCACTACGGTAACAGCTAGTGTATCTAAAACAAACTCAGTACAATGAAACATTTAAAATTAAGGGAAAATAAAAGCAGCTTAGCGAACTTCGTGAACAAATGGCTAAATCACAACAAACAAAGGACTTAAAACTGTGCACATCTTGGTGAAGTTTACTCAAATTTCATGCAAGAAAAATTTTCGTCAAATTACCAACAGCAATCGGATGCCGTCTATCGCTAGCCTCATCAGAGCTCTTGCACCGGCACTTACATGTACATTGGTGAACTTCCTGCAGGTTTATGGTGTTCACACCAAGGACAGGCGAAACACAAATATAGAAAACAAAAGACGAATCACCTTAAGTTTAGACACCCTAGTTATTTTCACCTGAAGACTGACCATCCTAAAGTTAACTCGGGGAGTTAGGTTATGATAAGTTTGATTTGGATTGGTTAGATCAGGGTTGGTTAGATCAGGGTGCGTTAGATTACCTTAGGTTAGTATTCGGGTAGGTTAGTGTTAGGGTAGATTAGATCATACGTTTGGTTAGTGTTATGGTAGGGTAGGTTAGGTTAAATTAGCATAAAAAATACTTTATGGCGTTTTCTATGAAAAATCGGTGGCGGGTATCTCGTCAATAATTACCCACTACTCTAAACATTACAGTACTGTATTAGCCAAATGTTCACCTACCTAACACTGATGTGTCTTCCTCCAGCTCGACGATGACGCGGCCGGAGATGAAGTGCCCCGGGAAGTACAGCAGGTTGGGGTTGTCAAACAAAATGATGAACTTCTGCAGTTTCCTCGCCATCTCTTCCTTTATTTCAAAACACGAGACGTTCTCGATATTTCAGCACTTCACTATATTACTATTATGTAGCGTATTGTTAAGTACTTCGTCGTTATGTATTCTTAACCTACATACAGTAAATCACCTCCCAGGGTATCCTTTTCTGTTGACTGTGTCCTGCCAACGTAAATCCTGTGGGAAACAATTACTGTATCACTTTAAATTCCACTTTTCAACTTCCTCCGAAACGTTGAACTTATTTCTTCAACAACCATGTACAGGTACTTTTATTTATTTTTACACTTTAGTATTTACAATATTCCTGAATTATTAAAATAATATTTTAAATATAAATTTTACAAGAATGACTGATATCACCCTCCTCCCATCCCATCACGACCAAAATCAGTCGAGTCCAGAACTAATTAGTATGTGTATAAAGAATTTTCGTATGACGTTGAAGCTACAAAGAACCCAATCTTTGTTGTTGTTTTTTTAACTAAACCACAAATTAATAGACAAACAGACAGACAGACAGACAGACAGACAGATAGACAGAATCAATACTATTCCCTGAAACTTTTCTGGGGGGGGGGGGAGGTGACATTCATTATAACTTCTTTCTTTACACACATACATAAAATATAACTCATTTTGTTAACGTTGTCTAATAAAGAGACTGGAACGATAACATAAAAATTCCTTCTTCCATATGATGTGTAATCATGTTTTTAATTTGGCTAATACAGAGGAAACAGTTAAATGAAAATTACACTTCTCTACATTTGATCAAACACACCACTTTCGGTGCACTGGAAGTCAAGTATAAGTAATGGTGTTTCGTCGTTGAACAAATCTAGTTAAACCAAGAGAAAGAGTTGAGACGCACAAGGAACCATTTTCATACCACCCACCCACACACACACACACACACACACCCACACATCCACACACACACACATCCACACACCCACATCCACACAATATATCATCACGTCCCAAATACTGACATTTACGTAGAATTTTCCCTCAAGACCTATATTGCTGCTGTAGTTACGACTGATTTTTTAAACACCATACTGTAATTCAACTCTATTGTGTGTTAACGTGAGTGTACGTTGGTGGGCGCGAGCTTGTATTATGTACTTTAGTGTGGAAATGTTTCATAATCCTGACGGTCCTTTAAGAGCAATGTGGATACACAAAAGACAGCGTAGCCAACACTGTCTTCGATCACCTTCACTTTGGGCGCGAACCAGCGATCCCCAAGGACAGAAGGCGAGCGTTGCATCCACTCAGCAGCCGCACCTCTAGTTTAAATGTATATATGTGTGTGTGTGTGTGTGTGTAAAGAGAGTGTGGGTGTGTCTGGGTGTGGGCATACGTGGGTTACAAAAAAAAAAGACTCACATAAATGGTGTATTGCTGAATAAGTCTTTTTGGCGAGGACAACATTCACAGCTATATAACGTTTTCTAAGTTCTACATATAGTATAGTGTATACTGTACTAACAAAAAACTTCTCCAGTATAACAATGTCGAATTTCTTGTCCAATTTAGAAACCATCTCTCACTCAGTCATAACTATATCCACTTACTCCACATTCAGAATAGCAAACACTGATTTACAACTGAACACCCACACATACAACTACAGTACAAACACACATAACCACTCATTCACTACACCTACACACTCACTCACAATATTCACACTCACAAATACACCCACACACCTACACAACTTACGACACAATGAACGAAAGAGAAGCAAATTAGATGCCAAGGACACCAACGCCTCAGCTGAGAAGAAAGACACCCACACACCTGCCCACCCACCCACCCACCCACTCCCACCTCCACCCACTTCACCTCCACCTACCCCACCTCCACCCACCTCACCTCCACCCACCCCACCCACCCAGATCACCCCACCTACCTCACCTCCACCCACCACCTCCACCTACCTCACCTCCACCTTACCTCACCTCCACACCCACCTCACCTCCACCTACCTCACCCACCTAGATCACCTCCACCTACCTCACCCACCTACCTCACCTCCACCCACCACCCACTACCTCACCCACCACCTCACTTCCACCTACCTCACCTCCACCTAACCTCACCTTACCTCACCTCCACCTAGATCATTCTCCACCACCTACCACCTCACCTCCAGCACCTACCTCCACCTACCTCACCTCCACCCAGATCATCTCCACCTACCTCACCTCCACACCCAGATCATCTCCACCTACCCCACCTCCACCACCCACCTCACCTCCACCCACCTCACCCTACCCAGATCATCTCCACCTACCTCATCCACCCACCTCACCACCCACCTACCTCACCTCCACCCACCACCTCCACCCACCACACCACCTACCTCACCTCCACCCACCCCACCTCCATACCTAACTTCCACCCACCTCACCCCACCAGATCATCTCCACCTCCACCACCCCACCACCTCATCTCCACCCACCTCACCTCCACCCAGATCACCTCCACCTACTCTCCCCACCTACCAGCCACCTACCTCACCTCCACCTACCTCACCTCCACCCACCTCACCTCCACCCACCTCACCTCCAACCTACCCCATCTCTACCTAGATCACCTCCACCTACTCACCTCCTCTCCCTTCTCCCACCTACTCCCACCTCCACCTACCTCACCCACCTGCTCACCCCACCTCACCTCCACCCACCTCACCTCCAGCCCACCTCACCTCTACCTAGATCACCTCCACCCCTTCCCTCCTCCACCTACCTCACCTCCACCCACCACCTCCACCTACCTCACCTCCACCCACCTCATCTCACCTATCACCTCCACCCACCTCACCTCCACCTACCCCATCTCCACCTTACCCCACCTCCACCCACCTCACCTCCACCTACCTCACCTCCACCTACCTCACCTCCCAACCCACCTCACCTCCACCTACCTCACTCTACCTTCACCTCCACCACTCACCTCCACCCACCTTCCTAGATCACCACCACCACCTACCTCACCCTACCTTCCCACCTACTCACCTCCACCTACCTCATCTCCACCTACCTCACCTCCACCTAGATCATCTCCATCTACCTCACCTCCACCTACCTCATCTCCACCTACCACCTCCACCTACCTCCACTCTCCACCTACCTCACACTCCACCTATCATCTCCACCTACCTCACCTCCACCTACCTCATCTCCCACCTGCCTCACCTCACCTAGATCATCTCCATCACCTCACTCACCTACCTCACCTCCCACCTACCTCACCTCCACCTAGATCATCTCCACCCACCTCTGCCTCCACCTACCCCTCATCTCCACCGCCTCACCCTCCACCTCATCTCCATCTGCCTCCCACCTCCCACCTACACTCACCTCCACCCCTCACCTCCACCTACCTCATCTCCACCTACCTCATCTCCACCTACCTCACCTCCACCTACCTCATCTCCCACCTACCTCCCACCTCCACCTAGATCATCTCCACCTACCTCACCTCCACCTACACTCATCTCCCACCTACCTCACCTCCTAATCTCCTCCACATCCTCACCTCCACCTACCTCACTCCCCTCCTCCACCTAGATCATCTCCACCTACCTCCACCTCCACCTACCTCATCTCCACCTACCTCACCCCTCCACCTACTCATCTCCACCACCTCACCTCCACCTGACTCTCCTCCACCTATCTCACCTCCACCTAGATCATCTCCACCTACCTCACCTCCACCTAGATCACCTCCACCTACCTCACCTCCACCTACACTCATCTCCACCTCCTCACCTCCCACCTACCTCACCCTCCACCTACCTCACCTCCACCTGCCTCACCTCCCACCCTACCTCACCTCCACCTAGATCATCTCCCACCTACCTCACACTCCACCTAGATCATCTCCACCTACACTCACCTCCACCCAGATCATCTCCACCTGCCTCACCTCCACCTACCTCATCTCCTACCTCACCTTCTTACTCACCTCCACCTACCTCATCTCCACCTACCACCTCCACCTGATCATCTCCCACCCCTAGATCATCTCCACCTACCTCACACCTCCACCTAGATCATCTCCACCTACCTCATCTCCCACCCACCTCCACCTCCCGGATCATCTCACCTACCTCACCTCCACCTAGATCATCTCCACATCATCTCCCACCTGCCTCACCTCCACCTAGATTCTCCTCACCCACCTCCACCTCACAGATCATCTCCATCTACCCCACCTCCACCTACCTCACCTCCACCTACCTCATCTCCACCTCACCACACACTCCACCTACCTCCCACCTTCCACCTAGATCATCTCCACCTACCTCACCTCCACCCTACCTCATCTCCACCTACCTCACCTCCACCTAGATCATCTCCACCTACCTCACCTCCACCTACATCATCTCCCTCCACCTCACCTCCACCCACCTCACCTCCACCTACCTCACCTCCACCTAGATCATCTCCACCTCCCTCACCTCCACCTAGATCTCATCTCCACCTACCCCTCACCTCCACCCTAGATAATCTCCACCTACCTCCTCCACCTGATCCCTCTCCCACCCACCTCCCTCCACCTCATCTCCATCTACCTCACCTCCACCTACCTCCCACCTCCACCTACCTCCCTCCACCCTATCATCTCCACCTGCCTCACCTCCACCTAGATCATCTCCACCTACCTCCCACCTCCACCTATCCACTCCCACCTACCTCACTCCACACCTCACCTCCACCTACCTCACCCCCTCCACCCACCCCTCCTTCTCCCACCTACCCCACCTCCACCTAGATCATCTCCACCTCCACCTCCCACCTCCACCCACCCCATCTCCACCCACTCCCACCTCCACCTCAGCACCACCCCACCACACCTCACTCACCACCCACCTCACCTCCACCTACATCCCACCCACCCCACCCACCCCTTCTCTCCACCCACCCCACCTCCACCCACCCCCACCCACCCACCCCACCCACCCACCCCACACCTCCACCCACCCCACCCACCTCCCCACCTCCACCTACCCCATCTCCACCCAGACCACTCCACCCACCCCACCTCCACCCACCCCCACCCACACCCACCCCACACCTCCACCCACCCCACACCCACCCACCCCACCCAACCCACCCCCACCCACTCACCCCATTCCACCCCACTCCCTCCTCCACCCACCCCATCTCCACCTACTCCCTCCACCCACTCACCTCCACCCACTTCACACCTCCACCCACTCCCACTTCCACCCACTCACCTCCATCTACCCCACCTCCACCCACCCCCACCCCTCACCTACCCCACTCCACCTACCTCAC